TCGCGCCCGCCTCCCCCCAGGGACCTGCTGATGATAGGGTGAGCTTAGGGGGTGTAGAAGGCTGAGAAGGATGTGAGCTTCAAGGAGCAATTGCTTTTGGAGTTTCATGACTTGATCATTGAAAAACTTTTTAAAAAAAAAAAAAAAAGCAAAGAACTGACCAGACCCAGAAGAGACGAATTTGTTGAGACCAAAGGTTTAGTAAACAAGTCAAGCTACTCATCAGGAGGAGAGCTTGGGTGCAGGAGCAACAGAGGCCAGTCCCAAGGGTGCAGAGGGAGATGAGAAATAGGTCAGGCTCTGTAGAGGCCCATTCACATGTGAAAAGTTGAGGAGAAGGTGCATAGGGCTCACACAACAAGCTGGGACTGGTTAATTCTTCCCATCTGACCATCTATAGGGTGATGAATAATGCCACCACAACAAACATTTTGCCCATTCTTCAAAGTGAGACCTTGGCCCTGGGCATCTCCAAGTGCTTTGTCAGGGAATTAAGGGCTTGGCCAATAGAGTCAATAGATTCAGTTCTGCCTGGGTCTGTTATTGGCTTGGGATGCTCAGGGCTACAAAGCCACTCCCTGCTCTACAGCAGGGTATTCCAGGAGGAAAAACCTCATGTGTCTAAGGCCTGGTGTCAGAATGTACCAACAGGGCCCAAGAGGACAAGATGTGCCTTAGCTCCTGCTCCCAGATCCCAAATCATGCTACTATCTTGGGGGTGGATGAGGTGGTCCCTCCCTGTCATGAGGACACCCTAGCCATGCCTTGGTCAGTCTTGTACCTCCTTCTGGTTGATTTAGGAAATGGGATTTACCCAAAGAAGAGGAATCTGTTCAAGCATACAGCAATCTAGCCTAAGCTTTTGAGATGGAAAGCTATATCTGGACAGGAGTGAATTCACCAAGTGGTGGCACTTTTCTTTGAGGGGTCCTGGGACTTGGTTAATAATTACAACTGAAGACAGTTACTGAGCACTCTGTGTCCAATATCATGCAAGTCAGCTACATATATGCTCATGTCATCTTGATTGATAAACCTATGAGGAAATTGAAGCTCAGAGAGGTGAAGATACTTGACCAGAGCTGAGATTCTAACCCAGGTATATTACCACATACCTCCTTCTGGTCAGTTTAGGAAATGGGATTTGCCCAAAGAACAGGAATCTGTTCAAGCATACAGGAATCTAGCCTAAGCTTTTGAGACTGAAAGCCACATCTGGACAGGAGTGAATTCACCAAGTGGTGGCACTTTTTTGAGGGGTCCTGGAACATAGTTAATAATTACAACTGTAGACAGTTACTGAGCATTCTGGGGCCCATATCATGCAAATCAGCTACATACTATATATGCTCATGTCATCTTGATTGATAAACCTATGAGGAAATTGAAGCTCAGAGAGGGATTTGGCACTGGCTGCTTTTTACCCACATTGGTGAGGTCCTACATGCAGTTCTTAACCCTTTCAGTCCTAGGCAAGCCAGGACAGCTGGTCACCTTAGCAAGAAGACAAGTTGAAAACACACACAGCACCATCCAGAATTCAGTCAAAATTAGTGTGGCGCAGGGATTAAGTGCCGCAAACTATGGTCTGAGAGCAGGGATATCAGCCCTGAGCTGTAGCTGACTCATGACCTTCGAAAAAGCACTTCCCTCCAAGAGCTTCAGTTCCGCTATCTGACACATGAGGACATTCCAGTTCTGTGGAGGGTAAGGTGACAGCATACAATTAATGTCACCAAGGCAGTGCAAAGTGCACCACCTCTTGGCGAAGCAATTTGGCAAAATCTGGCATACTTTCACACACTTTCTTATCTCTTGGGACTTACAATTCCAAGGTAATAGCTCAAGGGAAATAGAAAAAGTTCTCTGCAGAAACATGTGCATTGCAGGACTATCTATCATAGCAAAGAGGTGGAAGCAATCTCAACACTACAAGAAGCAGTGAACTAGGTATGCTACATCCACTAGGAGGGATCAAGTACTGCAGTCATTAGAAAGGTCCACAGGCTCTTGGGCCAATTTAAACCAGCTTGGGAAAGGCAAAGCAACATGGTTCAAAATGAAAACATGAAAGGGTGTTGCTGCAGAGAAAGACTAATGGAAAAGAGAAAGATGGTAATAATAGTTGTACTGCTTGGTAAGATCAGATGTAAATATTTCTGCATTTTGTCAGGTGATGTACACCAGTATGATATTATTTTTCCACACACATGAAAAGGAATTAATAAATGAGAAAACTTTAGCTGTAGTCTCCACAGCTACTCCTGGGATTAAATCAGTCAGCTGATTGGTGCCCATGCAGACCAAGTGCCTGTGAGCCTTGCTGGATGCCCCTGTGCTGCCCAGAAATGGCCTGCATTGCAGCATTTGCCAGGCAACACAGGGATGGAGCCAGGACTCCTGACATTTAGGCCAGTGTATCTCCCATGACCAGCCTTCATCCCTCAAGCTCTATATCGTGGTGACAATGTCCACACCTGGTAAACTGGTCAGAGATTTTGGCTGCAATCAAAGAAACCAATTCTGGCTGATTTGGGCAGAAAAGGAATGTATAAGAATATTATCGAGTAGCTCATAGACTTTAGAAACAATTAGACACAAGCATTAAAGGAAAAGAAGACATTGACCAAATAATGCTGAGAAGCCAAGAACACAGCCAAATCCCATAGAGGAAAAATATGGAGAAGCTAGGCTATTGTAAAGATTTGACTTAAGTGGCTTCTCGTGATGCTCCCACTCTGGAAAACCTATTGCCCACAACCCCAAAAGAACCCAGACCCAGGATTCTGCCTTCCCTGCTGGGTTCCCCAGGTAGGCCACTGAGTTTATGCCTAAGCACCCCACTGTCCAGGCATACATGACTCAATGAGGACACCAAATGCTCACCTTTCAAATTTATTCTTTTCAGGGCAACATGTGGACATATCCTGGTTCCAAGTGGCCCACATTAAAGAGGATGGGATACTCATGGAGAAGCCAGCCCGTGTGGAGCCACATTACATAGTCCTGGAGAACCCTAGCTTCTCCCCCATAGGCGTTCTACTGAGAATGATCCATACAGCCCTGTGCATTCCTGTCATCTCCAACGTGTTGCTCTACTATCGCCTCCTACCCGAGGAAGTCAACTTCCATCTCTACCTAATCCCCAGCGACTGCACCATTCGAAAGGTTGCCCCAATAGCTGGAAAGGGCAGGCCAGGATGGGCTGACAGAGACATGACATGC